AGCAACACCAGCCAGGGCTACATTAACTTTTAAGCTGTAAGTATTGCCAATCTTTTGAGAATAATTGGAAGGAGGGTGATTAGATCATTCACTTGATTCTTTCCAGCTGCAAAATTCAGTAAGTCTAAGAACCAGTTCACCCCTGGTTTTGGGCCTCCTGCTGATGGAAATAGGCACCACAGGTATTGATGCTCTGAATGAGGGATTCATCTAGTTGCCCGCGAATTCTGCATAAATCACGGAGTGAAAAGTAAGACCTCTAATCATTTGGAAAGGCAAGATCAGTATCCCTCTTCTTAATGGACAAAGCACCTATTCAAAGAATATATGTTTCATCATTTCTCTTGGCGCTGGTAAATGGGACTCTCAGATATGGTGGAATACCAACAACCCACACAGTCAAGCCTGGTGAGTAGGGCAACTTCAGCCCTTCAAGCGCAACTGGTAACCTGGTTCAGTCTAATCCTAAGGTTTAGAAATCTGCTTATGAATGAATTTGACCTGCTGGGTATGTATTCTCTACTAAAGCTTTGAACTTGTTAGTGATTGCAACGAAGACATTTATATGCATCTTTGGTAGTAAATGCACTTGTCCTACCTGAATAAAAGCTACCCAAAGTTCATTATCTAGTTCCTTGAGAAGAAGTAACAATATATCCTAACCCCTTTGGGGACCTGATATATTTTGGGCAGCAAGAATGGAAGAGTTACTTTCACAGTCTGGGGTGCAGTGGGAGAGCAAAAGCTTTCATCATGAAGAGTTTAAAAGAAAGAAAACATGTCAGATTATATTCAGGTATAATGATCTGGGAGGTACATGTCTCATTAAGACCCAGTGCTTAGTACTTGATAGAAGCTCAGTGGATTTTGACTTCTTTGGAAGGAATGCTTTGGCCAGAATAGAGCAGCTCTGGCTAACATCACCTAACGTCACTACTGGGTAGGAAACAGGTGAACTTGAATGGAGACTGTAACATACCGTTCCCTAAAACAGCAACAACAAAACACAAGAACAGGTTCTGCGCACAAGTTGAAGAGGCTTGCACCTTCCCTTGCTAGAGAGTGGCCAATAGGAACCTGAGAAAGGCTTTTTGGTCTGGTTTCTGCTGCTGACAGGTGTGTTTTCAAAACAGACCCCTAAATGCTATCTTTTACAGAGGAGAAGGTGGGGTTGGTGAACATGATGATTGAGCAATTACACTTAAGAATCATAAATTCTACCCCTGAATACCCAGAAAAGTACGTGAACCAGCATGCCAAAGAATGTGCTACTCTAACGAGTGCTATAAACCAGAGTGGGGCATGATTCATCTGGAAGGCGGTTCTCTTGGAGAGAGCAGCAAATTAATGCTCAAGGTCCGCTGTGAGATGAATTCCACGGGACCAAACACACCCTTTCCCCTCTCTTCCTACGCAGTCGGGTCTGGCTCGTCCCCATCTCCCTTACGGCTTCAGATGGCCGTGGGCTGGCTTAGCTGGAGTCAGCCTGGCCTGGATGAGTTACTGAAGGCCAGCAACTTCAGACTCAACTGAGTGAGTCACCTATGGGAGAAGGATGTGGGATCCCATTCCAGTTCTGAAATAACCCAGGAAAGGTTTAAAAATACCTGTGCCCAAGCTCAGAAACAGTAGAGTACAGAGTGTAGAGCACAGAGCCCTTCATGACAAATTCCCAAAGATCCCAGAAATTGGAACGGGCTGTGGGACACCCGGTTCCCTTTCTTCACGCGGCAGAGCAGAAGGAAAGTGCCCTGCAAAGCCAGAGTAAGGCCCTAAACTGGGAACCAGGTGAATTTAGGAACTTCTGAGAGAAATGGGTGGGAAGCTGAGGAAATTTTGGCCACCCTTGAATATCTTCCTCAAGAGGGTGAGGACAGTCTGCCCTTAGTCAGCACTGAGGTTTCAGGTCCCAATCCCACCCGCTCCTCATCTGTGCTCCTCACGAAGGAACAGAGCAGAGCATTCCTCGCTGAAGCCACATCCCTGCCCCACTGGACCCCTCCCCCTTCTCTTTCTCTCCTGTGTGTTCAGCACATGGGTTGTAAATACAGCAGCCGGCTGGCTATTTGTCTTGCATTTGCCATAAGAATGAAGAGCAGCCACTAGCCAGGAGGTGTAAGGTCCTGAAGGTAAAAATAGCTTTGGAAACCAGATGAGATGCCTGCTGTCTCCTCAGTAACCTGGGCCCCAGAGGGCACTGACCAGGTCTATGGACCAGTTAACCCTGTTTTGAAGGAAGAGCCAGCGCATTGGTTTCACAGTAAGAATGAGGGGAAGGGGGACATGTTATGATTAAAGCTGTTCTCTTGGTAGCGGATGGGTCATGCAGCTCTTTCCAAGAGCAGCGGTTGCCCCACTGAGTCAGCGCTGCCAGCCCTCCCATCTTGGGCGGGGCGACTGCAGGGCGGGCGGACTGCAGGGTGGGGCTGGCTGACTGCAGCACTGACCGTTGGTTGCTAAAGCAGCAGTTCAGGGACTTGAACCTGGGGTTTCCATCCCCCATCCTCATGCTCCACCCCCTCTTACCTCCTCATGCAGTCGGGGGTGGGACTCTTGCTTCTAGCTTGGGTACACTTTTCACTGGAGGGCCTGGGGCCTGGGGCTAAGGGGCAGCAGGGTCCTCTCTGTGCCCCAGGCAACCTCCTCCTGCATCTGAAACACTCATTTATTTGTTCACCTGTCTCTCTACCTGGGATAAGAACTGTGAATCATTCTGTTCTATCCAGAAACACTAAATAAGTGTTTGCTAAATGACTGGAATGAATGAATCAGATAATCCCTTTGGCAGGTGTGATCACCCAAGTCTGGGTTGCAAACCTGGTAGCTCAAGCTGGGCAGGAGGACAGGAGAGCTGGGAAGGGCCGGGAAAGGGGCCCAAAGGGGGCTGCCTCTGAGCGAGACAGTCAAGTACAGAGAAAAGCACATTCCATACGCAGAGGGAAAATACACGTCCTGCTAAACAGGTCTGGTCAGACCCAGACGTGACTTCTCTTTCTCTTCTCACTCTTGTGTTTCTCTCATGTGTGGGTCCATCCCAATTTCTACTTCATGCCTCTCCAGCTCTGCTCTCTCACTGTGAGCTCCACGGGATGTAACTACCTCATTGTTCACTCATTTTTTATCGAATCATTTTATTCTGATACCTGTGTATTTCCTGTTTGCCTGGACAATAGGTCTTTAAGAGTGGAGGTTCGGAAAGTCCATAGTCTCTCTGTGTAGTTTTCTCTACAGAAATGATTCTGGACTCCACAAATGTAGAGAATTCAATTTTCCATTTCTGGAGCTCCTACACTTTGCATGTCCTGGTCATGTGTCAGAGACAGACAGACACATACACATACTCACTCCACAGTGCTTGCCTTTGGGAAGTTTCCCAGCTAATGGCATATTATTTAAAAAGATGTCATAACCTTTAGTTAATTGTGTTTGTTTCTTTTCTCACTAGATTGTGGGCTCCTTGGGCAAGGCCCCGTAGCTAGCACCCTGCCCCATTAGAGGCTGCTTACGAATCAGTGAGAATGAAATTGATGATAAAGTCAATTTTGATGCTCCCAGGAGTAGCAGGGAAGCAGGAGGCCTCCTTACAGAAATCCTGCTCCTGAGCAATCCCAAATGTTTGCTCTGGACCCATGCCCAGATCTAGTCCGAAATTTTACAAAGGATCCTTCTACAGAGCAAGAGGTTTGAGTTACTTTGCTCATCCGTACTGTCGTTTTCTTACAGCCCACCCAGAAAATAACTGGCAGGGTGTCACTAAAAACAAACATCTATTCTTTTAAATGTGTTTGAGGTTTCCTTCCTTTTGCTTCAGAGATTTTGAAAAAAAACCCCTCCTTTTTTTTTTTTTTGAAAATTAAACCCAGAAGACATTCTTGAACTTGATCCCCAAAGGAAATTAAGAAAAAGGGACTTGGGGCAATGGACCAGGCTGTGTCTCCAACCATTCACCAAACATAAAACTCGCCCAACGAGAAAGTGGGCAGCAAAGGAAAAGTTCCAGGTGCAACCCAATAGGAAGAGAGAAGCAGAAGCCTTCTTCACCCCAATGGTGTACACCCATCTCCTATTCCTTAATCATCCTGAACGGTCAAACAATAGCCATTGTGACAACTGGTATTAAATCCACTGGCGGGTTGGGTGGTAGTTATTTAGTGAAGGGCTAGGAAGTGCTGAACATTGTCAGAAATAAGTAATTCGTTCTTGTTGCTTTTGGTGCAATATTCCCAAATTGTTGCGTTTCCAAGAAAACGAAAAGCTTAAAAAAGATCCTAAAACTTCCGGCAGGCCAGCTTTCCCAGCACTCCGAGTGCTAATTTGTACATTATAGCCCTGAAAAGATTCCATTGTTCTCCCCAACTTTAAAAGACTGGGCTGTAGCCAAGGGCATACCAAGTGGGTAGTGCTCTTAAAAAGTCACATTTTTTTGGAACTGTCAGTGGAAAGCAGGGAGGCACCCAGTCTCAGCTCCGCCCCGGCCGAGGCCTGCTTTCACTGAGGTTGCTGCTTGGGAGGCTGGCCAGAAGCCAGACCTGGGAGGAAAAGGCTCATCTGATGTGGTATGCAGGAAACATCAGGGAAGAGCATCCATCACCTAGAAATCAGGATGCGTTGTGCCCAGTGGACTCCCAAGAACATTTGAGGAACTGGAATAAGAAACTCCAAAGGGTGGATCAGGGACCGTGAGGAAGGTAGCTTTGGGCTGTCGAGGAAGGTATATACCGTTTAGAAGAGGTGATTAAGTAGACACCGGACAGGAATCTGTGGGGGCAGGATTGACAAAGAAATTTCAAATGAGTTCTATGAACTCATTCTTGCTCCAACCCCTGGCGTTCGTTGTCTTTTGTAATTTGCAGAAACACGTTGGAGGCAAAGATCTTTGAGAGGGTGTTTCCATGAACCTGGCCTCACCCGAAGTGCAGGATATAAAAATCCATTGCTGCAGGTTGAAACTCAGACTGGCTGCAGGGGTGTGTGTGTGTATGTGTGTGTGTGTGTGTGCTGGGGTGGGGAGTGGAATTCTGCAACTGTAAGCCTCTAAACAGAAAAGCTGCCTCCCCAGCGAAGCTGACGCAGCCTGCCAACAAGCGTAAGGCAGATAACCCAGCAGCGGTCTCATGATGGCCTTGCCCATCTAATTGCTGCCCTCATCCATAGTTCAACTAAGAGAGCCCTTCTCTCCTTCAGATTGCCAGCCAGTGCTGGTGTGACTCACTTCCTCTTGGAAGATGCCCTCTAAGATGGCACAGTTCCCCTTTCCCTTCAGGGAGTGTTCTGTCCAAACCATCTGCCCAGAGTAGCCAGAACCGTCAGGGCCACACCCACATGGTCTCAGAGCTGAGTCACAGGCCTCCATCCACTCGCAGAATCCTGGAGCCCTTTGTGCTAGCCACGCCCTGCAGAGTGCTCCCAGCTCCCCACAGAGAGAAGGGGTGGGGGTGGGTGGGCTTAATGGATTCCAGAGTCTGGCCTAAAGCTGTGCAGGGTTTGGCCCTCAGCCCTCAGCGGGTCTTACCACTCCCACCCAGCGGGCAAAGTCCTGGTTTCAGTTAGGTGGGGCCCAGCTGAGGCTGGAGAGTGCAGGGTCCAGGGCTGGAGGAGGTGCTATTCTTTTGGCCAAGTTCAAGTGTGACCAGGTATCCAGCACATCTCTGTCTCATTTGCACTGGGCCAGATTAATCTGGGTTGGAAGGTCCTTCGCCAAGACTGTTCTTTCCCTATTTCATTTTAGTTCCATTTGTTTGATTAAGGTAGCGAGAGGGGGAAACCCTTTCAGTAGAGAAATCACTTAACACGGTCCTCTCCCCGCCCCCTCCCCCTGCAAAACTGCTTTATAAAGAAATCAAATAGACCTCCCTCCCTCCCTCCCTCCCTCCCCCAGCAGTGAGAACCTTCACGTCTAGCAGACAAACAGGAAGCACAACCTGAAGCCTCAGGGCCAGGGGCCGAGTGTGCCTTAGGAAGGGTATCCGCCAGCTGCCAACCTGCCCAGCCCTCCCCAGCCGACCGCAGCCCTCCGGAGCCTGCTCTGGCGGCCCAGGCGGGGGAGGATTCGAACAGCTGGACAGAGGTCAGCCCGCAGCTGGAGCCCACAAAAAAGCATGCCGCCAAGACAAGGGGCCAAAAGCAGGGGCTCGTTTAACTGGGGAGACCAGTGGAAAAGTAGGCAAGTGGGAGTAAAGCAAGGGAGGAGAGCTCGGACCCCGGGGCACCAACACCGACCTCCTGTAATAAAGGGCGAGCCCCCCTCCCCGGGTCCGCCGGAATCTGGGGAGGGTCGCGCCAGGGCGCTGCTCGCCTCGCCCGAGTGTGGCCAGAGCACGGACTCCCCGCATCCTTCCTCCCTCCCAGGCGCTGGGAGACCCCGCG